GTGTTGGACAAGGCAGGAATTATTTATGGGAAGGGGAAACCCAGAAAGCAAATGCAGTAGTAAGAAAGGCAGGAGTCAATCTTCAACAAAAGAATTTATTTTTACATAAATGAACCCATCTGGCTATGCCCAAGACATATCTTCTTTCCATAGTACATGAATAGGATAGAGGTTAAGTTTGCCGTAATAACTCCATGATCATCTGATTTATCCAGGATTGAAGATTTCCTAAATGTGTTACCTTGAGGGGAAAAAAAAACAACACTCATCTTTGTTTCAATTACAAATAAAGGTGATTAGACCCATTGGGCTATTGTGAGGATTAAGTGAACATATGGAAATCATTCAGTGTTTGTCACACAGTCATGCATTTTATTATACCTTCTTTACATACCTTGTGGACACAGATGGAGAGTATAATTAGAACTCCAGACAGTTCTCAATAGTCAATTCAGTGGGCATTGAGTGTCTTCCATTTGTGATGATCCAAGGGAGAATTCAAGGAAAAAATAAATAAAAACAAAAGTTTCCTTCAAAAAGAGGATGTGATGATGTGTAAGGCTGTGCCAATGTGTCTCTTATGAAGGTCTGTGCTGCTTCCCAGGGAGCACCCCAGGAGGCCAGACTATGGAGTGTTAAAGCTTCATTTATATAACATCCAGGAATTCAGAGCATTTTTCTGGTGTCAATAGCCAAATAAGTGATCCAAATGATGTTTGCATGGTTTCAGGCCCATACATCTACAAAATCACCCATGTTTTCTAAAATAATAAAACTACTTATTTCACTTTGTAAGCAAATAATCTTCACCCAAATTTTCTACTTGATTGTCACCATCTAATGATGAAGGAATAGCAGATTTCAACAATAACAGCACTATTTGACAGATTAACAGGTTATGCCTTCTACTCTTAAGACAAGACAAAACATTACATTCCCAAATTTCTCAATGATTACCTAATTTACTTAAATCATCTGATAACTATATATTGGTCACACATCATGAATAAAGAACTGAACTTCAAGTAGGATAGATAAATAAGAGTTTCTGCTCTCGAGTAGGAAAAGTGCAGGTAAATACATTATTACCTAAAAGATCAGAGTCATGGTCACAGTAATAGATGCGAGGGACCTGTTGGATAAAATCTTCACAGAGACACTCATGTTTATTGCAATTATTCATGTGTAAAAGACAAAAGTTAAAAAAAAAACAACAGTGTGTCACCTTGAAAAATTCTGTTGTGCTGGAAGGTTAAATCAGAGGGATGAGCAATAGGTATTAGGCAAGTTGACCACAAAAGGACCATTCAAAGTAGTTAGAAGGTGGATTGTGCAGTCCCATTAGTTTCCTTTTAGTCCCAAGAGGACCTATGTATGAGTTGAGACCTGCTGTTGATTCTGAGAGGAAGTGCAATGGGAGAAATTCTCAAGCTCTTCCCCATTAATTACTTTTAGGAATATTATTTGTAAAACGAGTAAGGTGCATTTAAAGAGATCATCACTGGGTTGATGTGCGAATTTCAGGCTCTGCTGTCTTGTGTTGCCCTCGTGGTAGAATCCTGCCCTGATATAATGAAAATCTTGAACTACTAACAGAGGAGAAAGGTAGTTTCCAAACTGATGAGAGAGGAGAGGCACAGCCCAGAAATTAGAATAAATAGGTAAAGAAAGAAGCATTAAACACAAGTCCAGTGCACACCATGCACTGATATGCTCTGTGTCATAGGAAGACTCTGGATAGTTAACCAAAAGTAGACCACGTAGGAGGCCCTTGTCCAAAAGGGAGGACAGGTTCGAAGCAGGGTACAGAAAAAGGGAAGAGATGTAACTGAAAGAGATTAGAGACCAATATTTTCTTGGCTGGAGAAAAGTCTTTGGCAATAACAAGCCAATGTGAATAATAAACAGGATTCCACTTTGAACAACTGAGTTAAAAAACAGTGACAATGATAACATGAAGGATTACAGACCAGTGGACAGGAAATTAGAGTTACAGAAACCTCTAGGCACAGAGTCTCCATTTACAGGCTTGCCTTTAAGGTGACAGATAATTTAACCCACTGTGAGCTGCAGAGGAAGGTTGGCTTTAAACAAACTTGTGAAGCAGACAGTGAGTTTCCTAACCTGCTTCCTATTCTCACTCCATTCTCCAGTAATGTCCTTTTCTTGTCCTTTAGGATTGATCCTGGTCAAGTTGGAATTTTAACTGTATCTTATGCTGTACTTCAACTAGAATAGAACCCCAGTTTGCATTTAAGTTCAGTTATCTGAATCTATACTATAAATATCTGAATAAAGGAGATTATTTAAGATTCAACAACACGGGACTGAAATTCCTGCTACTCATGTGTTCTAGGAAATGTTCTTTTTACCGAGAATAGTAAGTTAGTATCAGTATCAATGTCAGTGTTGAAAAAAATGAAGGACAGATAAAGGGATAACACATCCTACTGTAAGTGAGCCTTTTCCAATCCGTTTCTTTCAACACAATTGAATTGGCTAAGCGAGTCGTCCACTAATAAATCAACAAAAATATTTTTGATGATTGAGTACTATAAAATTTCTGCACATAACTAACAGAAAGTTCCAATAATATTATCTTATTTCTATAACAGCGCTACTTTTATTCCCATAGTGATGGGACATCAATGTCACTTATTTATATGAACTAGTTTTCTCAGTGTTTATATCTCCAAAGTAAAACGATAAAATAAAATTGATGCTGAAAACTTTCCCATTGGTGGTAATAAATAGTCTTGAATCCACATAAGAATTGAAAAGAGAAAGCTCAATCCACATTATTAGAAGATGGTTTTCCAATAAATTTTTAATATTGTGTCTAATATAGTTTTTCAAAATATATCATCTATTTTTGTTGTTTTGGCTGAATGTATGCTAATTATATAATCTCTAGAGGAAAATATTTTATAAAGCACTTATAATTTTTAGAGTTCAGGAAAAAACATGTAGACAGATATAGAGAAATCCATTAAAGACTTGCAATTATAAAAGACATTACATTACATTGTGACTATGATGAGACAAATGATGTAAAACTTCTCATATTTTAAAGACATTTATTTGCATAATTTTTGAAATAATTGTTAGTGGGTATTATAGCCTTGATATTTAGATTTCACTGAACCTATAAAAAAGTGATATAGTAGTTTCATTTAGAAAGGTCAATATTACCAATGCAGTAGAATTAGAGTCCCTTTAACTATATAAATGTCTGATTAAAAGAAGTCATCAAGCTGGCATATTATTTTAAATTTTATTTATTTATTTATTGTAATAGGAATTGAACTATAGGGGTGTCTACTACTAAGCTATACCCCCAGTTCTTTTACTTTTTATTTTAATACAGGATCTTGCTAGTTGCTGAAGCTGGCCTTGAACTTGCCATCCTCCTGTCTTAGCCTCCTGAGTTGCTTGCAATTACAGGCATATGCTACAGGGCCCAGCCCTTTAAAAGTTTCTTAAAGGGGAAAAATGTAAAGGGCTAAGTCTTGACAAAACTGGGAATGAATGATGATATCTCACATAGGACCCTAGCTCAAGTCAGATTTGCAGTTTTACCAGAGGTCCTCTGGCGATACCAGGTCACAGGCAAGATTGAGAGGAGATTGGAAAGGCAGAGCAGAATGATTAGGAGGAAGAGGACCACCTCATTTCTTTTGCAGCATTGCCAATTTCCTGTGGCTGCTGGAACAAACTGACGCAAGTTTAATGGCTTAAAACAACAGAGCTTTACTCTCATAGTCCTGCAGAACAGGAGTCTGAAATCTGTATCACTTGGCTGGATTCAAGGTGTTGGCAGGCTTGTGCTTCCTCTGGAAGTTCTGGGGGTGAATTCCTGCTTTGTCTCTTCTAGCTTCTGATGGTGCGGCCGTTCCTCACCTATAGCCAAGTCATTCCAACCTCTATGCCCTGCAATCTCTTCTTATCCTCTGCATGTCTATTTCAATTCTCTTGCTCTCTCTTTTAAGGGCCCTTGGTTGCATTTAAGGACCATCTAGATAATCCAGGATGATCTTCCCATTCCAAAATTCTTAATTTAATCGCATCTGAAAAGTCCTTATACTATCTACGAATTCCAGAACTTGGAACACACATACCTTTTTGGTTTTTGTTTTTCTATCCAGGGTCTCACTATGTTGCCCAGTCTTCTCCCAAACTCCTGGGCTCAAGCAATCCTCCTGCCTCAGCCTCATGAGGTAGCTGAAACTACAGGAACCACCAGAGTACACAGCCTGTGGGATATTTTTTTAAACCTATCACAGAGGCCCAGAAATTATAGAGTTTAATTCTGGCACAGAGAATGCACTGACAAAATAGTTGTAAAATGATTGAGGAAAAAAGTACTCTTTTCTGAAACAGAGCTTCCTAATCGCTATACTGGATTGTTTCTCCTGCTGTGAATGAACCGTTTTCAAACCAACTTTCTTTCTGTTGTGTTGCCTTCCCGACAGCTCAAAAAATTCTCCTTGAGCCACTACTTGTCCTTAATTTCCCGTGAGAAAATGAAGCCCTCAGTTGCCAGTTTGCTGTCACTCTTTCTTTGATATATTTGCTCTTTCCACAAATATGGAGTAAAGATGCTACAGGGCTTAAAAGTTTGAGGAAGGGAAAAGAGAGCATTAAAATAACAACAACAACAACAACAAAAAAAAAACAACAACCAAGAATCAAAACACCAAGGCTGGTTCTGAAATCTCTCGGTAAGCATTCATCCAATAATACTAAGCACAGTTAAAATTGCTAGGTATTAAGCACAGTCCTCAACCCTGAGGACCTTTGCCTGGAAATGGAATATAAAACAGCAAAAAAAAAAAAAAAAAAGGGGGAAATGATATAATAATAATAATTGATAGCATGTTGTACCACTGACCTTCTTCCACGGTTGCAGGCTGTGGGGAGACGGTAATGGTTTGATCCTCCTATCTTTCAACCTTTTTCTCTTCCTGTTACCTTCTCAGACACTCAAGTGGACAGAGATCATGGGGAATTTGAGTGGAGGCCACGTGGAAGAGTTTGTCTTGGTGGGCTTCCCCACATCTCCACCCCTCCAGCTGCTCCTGTTTGTCTTCTTTTTGGCCATTTATCTGTTGACGCTGCTAGAGAACGTGCTCATCATCTCCACCATCCGGCTGACCCCAAGCCTTCATCGCCCCATGTACTTCTTTCTTGGTCACCTCTCCTTCCTGGAGCTATGGTACATTAACGTTACCATTCCTCGGCTCTTGGGAGCCTTTCTTACCCAGGATGGAAGAGTCTCCTACGTGGGTTGCATGACTCAGCTCTACTTCTTCATTGCTCTGGCCTGCACAGAATGTGTCCTGCTGGCCGTCATGGCCTATGACCGCTACCTGGCCATCTGTGATCCCCTCCGCTACCCTAGTCTCATGCCTTCCAGCTTGGCCACGCGTCTGGCGGCTGCCTCTTGGGGAAGTGGGTTTTTCAGCTCCATGATGAAGCTGCTGTTCATTTCCCGACTGTACTACTGTGGACCCAACGTCATCAACCACTTTTTCTGTGATATCTCCCCACTGCTGAACCTCACCTGCTCTGACAAGGAGCAAGCAGAGCTGGTGGACTTCTTGCTGGCTTTGGTGATGATTCTGCTCCCTCTGGTGGCTGTGATTTCATCCTATGCGGCCATCATCGCGGCCGTCCTGAGAATCCCAACTGCCCAGGGACGTCACAGGGCTTTCTCCACTTGCACCTCTCACCTGGCAGTGGTCATCATCTACTATTCCTCCACTCTCTTCACCTACGCCCGGCCCCGAGCCATGTACACCTTCAACTACAACAAAGTCATTTCCGTGCTCTACACTGTCATTGTCCCATTTCTCAACCCAGCCATCTACTGCCTGAGGAACAAGGAGGTGAAGGAGGCCTTCCAAAAGTCAGTCCTGGGCAGATGTCACCATCTGAGGGATGTTCCAGACTGATGTGTGGCAGACGGAGATGGGAGAATAGTAACAGAGTGTTCATAGGACCTCACCAAGGAATCAGAGAATGTGCTAGAAAGGAATATAAATGTCAATAGTCTACCATTTCTCTAAATACTGTCTAGGAATCTCCTAAAAAGCCATTGATTTTGTACAGGAGTTTCCAAATTAAGTCTGGTTTAGCTTAGTTCCTAGGAACTTCTGTTTAGCAAACGGTTTGGGTTTTCCTACAAGTGTATTACTTTGTAAGTGATGAAGCTGCTGTTTCATATGGGAAAGAAAATTTTGAAGATCATATTATTAAATCCAACTTTTGTGAGGAAATGCAAAATTACACATTCATCCCCAAGAAAAATTTCATGCCATCTGATACATACCCTTTATCTCGACATTCTTGATATCCCACTGAAAGTAAACACAGAGACACACACTGCTTGGCATTAAGTCATATATGCACAATGTATATGGCTAAATACCCTCTTTGTCTTTCTTTGAATCTCAGGGGGATGTGAAACTGATTAACTGATTGGATATCGAATAGGTAGTAGCTGAAGTGTGTTAAAAAACTTTTAAACAGATTCTTCTCCAGCATTATAGGTCGCATCTGTTTTAACTAGTTTTTGTCTGCACCATACTTGTGTCAAACATTTAAAATTTTGCCCTGGGCAAAGGACCATATGAACAGAAAGTGTCTTGATAAGAGAGAATGTTTGAGAACCATAGATAGGATGCGGATATCTCTGTGATGAATGAGATGGGTCAGGTTCATAGCCTAAATTGTTGATATTCTGCCAAGTTCCCTTGAGTTTTGCAAAGTTGTTTGAATCATTCATAGATATTAGCATATCCAGACTCTAGGTTCATTTACCCAAATTTCATCACGTTGAACCAAATTCAATGGTTACTTAGACATGGCATACATTAAAACTGAAATAAATATGCAATTGAGCAAATTCCAATAAGTGCAGATTATTAGTCAGTGCACAGTTGCTTATTTTCAGCCAGGCTTTGGAAGGAGAAGAAAACCATTTGATCAATAATAATTTTAGATTTTTGTAGTATCTAAAATGAACTAGCCAAAAATAATCTGACACTAAAACAATGTAAGTTGCTTTATTTTCATAAAACCTCTAGTCTTAGAAACTTCTTTGAGTGTGACTCAGTTTACATCACATATTGTTTTCCTTTCTTGGAGTTATGAAAGGCATGGAGTTTATGAATATGAGTTCAGATCCTAGAAGCAACCAATTTCAGCTTGCTCCAGGCTTTACCATTAACACATTATATGACCAGAGGCGAAGAACTGTAACTTCTTAATTCTTCATTTCTTCTTTTTATAATGAAAATAACATCACCTACCTCATGTGCTTATTAGGAATACTAAATAGATAATGTGGGTGTGAGTAAAAGGTTATTAAACTCTTTTCTCTTACTCTGTGAATAAATTTGAAGTAGGTTTAACTTCCCACTTTTGGCACCTTGGAAATGTTGCTAGACAACATTGTGTATGATACAAATTACCTGTGACTAGTAAATGTCCTCTGGTCTGGGAGGATAATGCATACATATATTATGAAAGCCCAGTGAGAAATAAAGGTTTCAACTACTTTTATAACTTGGCCTCTTTTGCAGGGAATCCTGGAAGCTATGGATGCCCATGTAACTGTTGCAAGAGATACGACTGGCTTTTAGGGGGCTTGAGGATTCCAAGCTAAGGTGGATTCTGCCCTCCTCTGTGCAAATTTCATGTGCTCGTAGCTTAGCTGCGATCTTGAATGACAGGATCTTGCCCATTGTCCATTTTCAGGACTCTTTCCCCTTAACAGAAACTGCTGAGGCTCCCTTGAGGGGATGTTGTGTTTCCTACTCTGAGATTCTCTAAAGAGTTGATTTGATGCCAGGCATGGCCTTTGATAGAGTTGTGTTTGTCCAGTGAAGCTTAGGAGACCTTCCAGGATAGAATGCATTTAGCATCCAATGACTGACAAGCCCCATCATCATTGTCACTTTGTCATTGTAGTATCATATTCTTTCCATGTGAAGCATCATTGTAACTATTTGGAGACAACCACAAGCTGATTAGAAAGTTACAATTCTCAATTATATAATTTAATATTGTATTGAGGTGTCATTGGGTGGAGTCTTAGCAAGGATTGGAACACGTCAGACATCTTCACTAGAATGTCAAATACCGGTCTTAATGCTTGCCTTAGCCGTTTTAGCCTAGATTTCATGCTTCGTATTCTTCTTCTAGATATTTGCCCACATATTGCTCAAGGAAGAGCTGGACAGTGTCATCTGTTACAAATGCTGTTTGTACCACTCTTTTCATGTCACGTCATAGCCATCATAACCTTTTTTTTTTTTTTATCAGGAATTGAACCCAGGGGGTGCTTAACCAATGAGCAACATCCCCAGCCCTTTTAATTTTTTTTTTTTTTTGAGACAGGGTTGCTTTGGGACTTGCTAAATTGGTCTCAAACTTTCTATCCTCCTGTCTCAGCCTCCAGAGTTCCTGGGATTACAGGAGTGGACCACTGTACCCAGCTTCAATTCAGTTTTGAATGTGTACTCAGTGCAGCCAGGGAAAATAAGAGGGTGGAATGCAGTCAAGCTAAGCATGGATTTGTAAATAAAATCAAAACTCTTTTAAAATAGTAGCACTGTCCATCACAATTGACTAAGAATGTACTTGCATTTAAAAAGGAAACATAACTTACAAAATACTTTATAGAAATCACAGATATGGTTATCCGCCTCAAAATTTTATGACTTAAGAGAAGAAATAGATAATACATAATTTTAAGAAATGATTATAAAATTACATTCTCCATTACCACTCATTTGCATCTTGACTTAATTTTTCTGTAAAGCATAAGATAAAGGTCTGACTGAATTCTTTCACATGTGAATATCCAATTGCCTGATACCATTTGTTGAAGAGACTATCCTTTATTCATTTATATTTTTTTATTTGTTTGTTTATTTTTTTATTTATATATGATAGCAGAATGCATTACAATTCTTATTACACATATAGAGCACAATTTTTCATATCTCTGGTTGTATACAAAGTATATTCACATCAATTCGAGAGGGAAATGAGTGGTAGTGGAGAATGTAATTGATCAAAGCATCTTATGTGCATGTACAAATATATCATAATGAATTCCACTATTACATGCAATAATAATGCATAATTTTTTAAATAATGAAAGAATATACAATATTTCTAAAAAACTAAAATCAACTCAAAATGAATTAAAGATTTAACTGTAAGCTCTGAAATTATAAAACTACAGGAAAAAACAAGGGGAAAGCATTATAATATTGGACTGAGCAATGATTCCATAGGTACAACATTAAAAGCAGAGGCAATAAATTTTTTTAAAAAGTAAAAAAAAAAGAGAAATGAATATAAAATACTAACTCAAAGGAAAAATATGAGTTTCTGCACTAAACTTCAACTTATTAAGTTAAAAATTGCTTTTTCTTCACCAAAGATAAATATTCATACAGAATATTTTCCCCAGAGACATGCATTTTGCAGTATATATGCACCATACTTTTACATACTCAACTCAAAGGTGTAGTATATGAGTTTCCCCTGCCAGCCTGAGTGTAGCTCTTAATGAACAATTATTTTCCTTTGTATCATTAAACCATAAAGAACAAACAGAATTCCCTTTCACTTTAAGTATTTGGTAGTCGTAACAAGACCACATTGTATTGATATCAGTTCTTAGTTCATTAAAGCAGCTATGAAGACTTTTAAAAAATAACATCTGAGCTAGTTTTGTCCATAAATCTTTCCATGATAATATTTAATCCACCAGGTTCTTCTGCTCTTCCATATATTCTATATATTCTTCTATACTAAAGTTATACATTTATTATGTCATATAAATAAAATATTTCCTCTTTGAACAGATAACAATATTGCCTGCTATATACTATATACTGTATTAGAAAACAATGAATTGGTTACCTGAGAACTCTTAGTCCAAGAGTTTTTTAATTGATTGTAAGGGATTTCCTATGTTCCACCAAAATTTCCAAGTTAAATAAACAGAATTTTGATTTAGAAAGTTGTATACTATAAGCTCCACGTCTAGTTTTAATAAAAGACTGGAAAGTTGAGACCATGTCTTGATGAAGAAGAGAAGCCAGTTAACACAGGTCACTTAACTAGAAATAGCCTCATTATTTTATTCAAATATTTGAATAAAATTTCCAAAATGCCAAGGATTCTTATGTTGATTTGCAAATATATTTCAGAGGAAATTGGAATTAACTTTTCTGAACACCTTCTATTAGCTAGACTTACTGTTCACAAATAAGATCATTCATTCACATAGAAAATGCTATTCTAAACACCTTATGTATATTAGCCCATATGTTCATCACAAGAATTCTAAAAAAAAATTCTTATTATATTTTTCAATTAATAAAAAGATAACAGAGTATCTTGCCTAAAGTAGAGTAGGTAGGACATTTCTGAGCCAGAAATTCCAACCTAGGGCTCTAGCTTCAAAGACCATCTTCTGAACTATATCCAGTAATAACCTTTTTGTTAATGTTAGTATGTCCTTTTAAAGATTAAAAACATGATACTTGGAGAAGAAATTTGAGAATTTGTTTCCAGATATGGTCAAAAAGCAGTGAACACCCACATTTTTCTTCAAAGTTGGTGTCCGTTTTGGATTTCTCCTCTTTGAGATACAGGTATCACATTTTCCTCCTCTATGTCAGGAGGATAGATTAATGTCAATGGTATTAACCCTGGTTTCCTATTTACTTGTGTTTTAATAATAGCGGGGGTTGTGGTTCTTGAAATGTACCATCAAATGCCTAAAAGTTGTAAAATGATTACATAACTGTGTGAAAGGACTAGAGACAAAAGAACAGAACAGTTCCCAGTGCTTAGAAGACACTCAGTACATGTTTATTGAATGAATGGTCAGCCTCCTGCTGAATAACACCAAAGAGTAATGAACTAG